GTAGATGCTGTGTCCACCCACATACAATTAATGGAGCATAGTGTCAAATAGCAAAACCTTGCTCAATAAAAGGAATGGCCTGCAAATCCCAATTACATATTTCCTAAGGAACATGTCTATGCCAAATCACTTGCCTAAAGGAAGACGAGTTCTGCTGGCTTTCACACCCTTGGGAGGAGGATGAAAGGTGCTCTTCCTTGTGATTGGAGAGATCAAGCCTAAGGACAAAGCAAGAGACGATTCTATTGATGTAATAGAAATAATAGAAAAGTAGGGCTGAAAGAGATCTGAGGAGGTCATCTAGTTCAACCAGAAGCTCAAGGAAGGATCAGTCTTGATTAAGCCATCCCAGTTGAGTATCTATCTAACCTGCTCTTAAAAACTTCCAAGAATAGAGATTCCACAACATCTCTCTATGCTTAACTACCCTCATACTAAGAAACTTTGTCTTACTATCTAATCTAAATTTCCCTTGTTGCAATATAAGACGATGGTTCCTTGTGCTGTCCTTTGTGGCCACAGAGAATAGTTTGTTTCCATCCTCTTTATAACTAGCCTTGAAGACAGTTATCAAATCCCACCTCAATTTTCATTTCTCCAAACTAAATTCCTAGTTCCATCAGCCTGTCCTCCTACATCATGTTTCACAGGCCTTTAATCATTTTTGGTGATGTTTGCTGGACTCTGATTTGTTAACATATTTAGAATGACAGAATCATAGAAAATCTGGGTTGGAAGGGACCTCAGGAAGCCATCTAGTCCAATCCCCTGCTCAAAGCAGGAACATTCCCAACTAAATCATCCCAGCCAAGGTTTTGTCTACACAGTAGGGCTGTGTGAAGCTTCAGTTGCTGATTCGATTCAGAGGCGATTCGGCCCTATTTGGCAGCTGAATCTCCAAATCTGAATCAGATCAGGAGACCAGTTAATCTCTTTGAATTGAATCGGTAGCCTCCGAATCAATTTGGAGAGATTTGACGATTCGGGCATAGATACAGCTTTATATGTTTTTTCTATGTACTTCAAGGTACCAGGCGCGGCTCGTGAATGCTGATAGCGGGGTGGATGGAGCATCCTATGGCTCAGCGACTGGTACCTCCTGGGTCTGGGGGGATACCCAGGGGTTCCCCCTGTGGCTGATCGCTGAGCCAGGGGGATGTGGAGTGGGGGGATCCCCCGTGCACTTGGCAGTGGACCCGGAAGTAGACTGGAAGTACATCTGATCCACTTCTGGGTCTGCCGTTGAGCGCACAGGGACCCCCTCCCCACCCCGGACTCCCATGGCTCATATTTGGTTTATTTTCCACTGTAACACCCAGGTCCTTTTCTACAGAAATGCTAATTATCCAGTCGATCCGAATCCTGTACACTCCTTAAAGCCTAAAACTGAACATAGTATCCAAATGAAGCTTTACCAGTGTGGAAGGGAGCCGAAGAATCACTTCTCTTGATTTCCAAGTGATGCTCCTGTTAATGTAGCCCAGTATGCTACTGGCCTGCTTTGCAACAAGAGCACACTGTTAGTTCATATTCAGCTTATAGTCCATTGTAAGCCATTTTCTGCTGGACTGCAGCCTAGCCAGTCATTCCCCAGTCTGTATTTGTGGATGCTACTGTTTTATCCTGACTACAGAACTTGGAGCTTGTCCTTGTTTAATATCATTCAATTGATTTTGTACTATATCTTATCAAGGTCATTCTAAATCCTAACCCTATTCCCCACAGTGCCTGCAACTCCATCAAGTTTCGTTGTTCTACAGATTTAGTTGGCTCCACAGTTGCAGCAAGATAAGCTGCAAAGACAAGTGTTGACCTTGTAATTTTTTGTATTTTTTGATTTTCTTAAAATGAAATGCTATGCTGAAAATACTTTATGTTGTGCTGCTACCAAGGTTCTCCTTTAAATTTACTTAGTTATAATAGTGTAAGAATGATGATGTAGCCGTGATGGTCCAGAAATTATGCAAGAGGCAAGGATTTCTTAGAGTGATATCTTTAATTGGACCAACTATGTAGTTGGGATAAAGTTAGACAAACTTTCAAATGCAAGACTCTTCAAAAACAGGACCTGATGAAGAATGTCTTGCATTTGAAAGATTGTCTAATTTATCCCAGTTACATAGATGGTCCAATAAAATATATCACCCTAAGAAATCCTTGCCTCTTGCATTACTCATAATATTCAAGCTTCTGTACAATTTTGACTATTTCTTTGACGATACTAGTAAATACATTATTTTCTCCATCTTTATGCGTAGTCTGTAACCACTAACACAAATTTCCATACGCAACCTGGAACTGAACCCAGCATTCCCCATCTATATATTCCATTGCCTTTTAGCACACTGGAGTGAAAGATACTGATAAAATCTTCTTCAGAGTTAGTGTCTGATGCACATAGGAGATAACAGACTAATAATGTTCCCAATTAGTGTCTTATTAAACATACTAGCTGTTTGGGAAGCTTTCAGATAGGGTGGTGCTGCGTACCATAGAAAGCCCAGAAGGAAATTAATAATCTTGTTTTTAGTGCAGGGTTTGGAAGGTGTGGTAACTACAGCATAGTGCATGTTCCATGATGAGGATAAATGGAAATATAGACTACCTGCCCATTTAGGTGAGTGTCTAAATTAGCATTATTATGGCTGTTGAGCTGATCAACAAGGGTAAGAATAATGAAAGGTACATGTTACAGGTGTTAAATTCTATTCTTTAGCATTTTTGCTCGCAGCTCTCTTCTCAGACTGAAAAGAGCATCCATGAGACATTGAAGACACTAATACAAATTATAGAACCGATCTTCAGAGGTGCTGGGCGTGAACAATACACAAGGACCTCCAGGTACTGAGAAATTCTGAGAATCAGGTTCATCATATGAACAGCATTTTTAGGGTTCTTATTAACATATGGAGGTGGTGGCATGGTCAAGTTGTGCTGAAGTGCCTTGTTATATGAACAGTCAATGAAAGAACCTTTTCTGAAGGGTCTAAAATAATGATATTCCCCACAACCAGCTATTCAGTGTCTCATGCTGCTTGCAAGTATCTCATAGTGCTTAACCCACTGTTTAATTCCCAGTATTGGATCATAACAGTGCGTGTGTGAAGTCCTATCAGTAGTTTAATGGTATTGCATCTGTCTGGAACCTGCAAATTCCAGTTCATGATCTCCAGGGATGAAATCTGGCCCAATAAAATTCAGTGGGAATTTTGCAATTGGCTTCAGTGGAGCCAGAGTTTACCTCTAGATATCTGAAGAACAGGATGGTCCAATCAGCAGTGAAGCAGTTGTACTAATTTGAAAGACAAGAAACCTCAAATACCTCAAGATCTGTATTAGCCCAGTTTCAGTTACAAATCTTCTGACCACAGAGGTCAGTGCATTTCAGTGCAGAATGAGAACAAGAAAAATTCACTAATAATTTCTTAGGGTTTGGCACAAGTCTTAGATGAAGGATGCTGACTATCAGAAGTTACTGGGCAGTGTAGCTTCACATGGTTTTTAAGTACAAATAGGCCTTTGACCCAGTAGAAAAACTAAAGCTGCCTTGAAAGCAATAATAATGAAAGATATTGTGTTATGCTAGTACATATGTGGTATGAGTTATCCAGGCTAAAAGACCATAAACAAACACTTTTCCTTTTTCTTTCCGAATACAGTTTATTAGTTCATTTGTAGAACAATTTAAAAGCAGATCTTATATTGAAAACAAAAGCAAAATAGATACATAATCTCAACCTCAATAACTATTCAGTTGTACATATTAGCAGTAAGTTTCTGAAATACCAGATACATCCTGTTTTAAGGTTTAAATAGCTTAAATCACTTCCCATTTCTAATGTAGTAAACAAATTCAGTATGTGAACAATGAGAACCATTTTTTGACTCCAACAGACTTTGGAACAAGCCTTAAGGCCCAGAATCCCAAAGGTATTTAGAAGTCAATAGGAAGTTAGATACCTACATAACTTTGAGCCTACAAGGGTGACCTTGAACACATACTTCTGGGTTTTTTTCTAAATTAGAGTCTTACTCTGTAAGCAATTTGGTGTTGGACCAGATGTTCCCTGGGGTTCTGTAAAAGAGTCAAACACACCCTGGGGGAAATATATAAATAAATTGCAAAAATTAATCTTCTAAAAATCTCTAAATATAGATCAGACATTTAATGTCTGCCTTTGAAATCTGTTTAGCTATATCTCTGTAAAAAACCACAGATCATTTAGGACCTGAGCCAGTGCCCAAACTGTCACTGCTTCCAATGGGAGCTGATCCAGCTCCCATTGGAATTTGGTTGGTATTTCAATGGTAGCAGCTGCAGAATGCAACCGCTATTTATTGTTTTCTCCACATAGGCATCAACATGATGTAAGCAAATACATAATGCAGCTGACAAAATGCAGCAGGTAAAAATTAGCTCCTCAAGCTTCTATTTCCCTCTTTAATTGCCATCAGTTTGGATGATGGGTATGGCCTTGAAATACAACACACAGCTGCTTCACGCAGCCAAAGATTTCCATGCTGACGCATTTTTAAAATTTTAAATACATAAATAGGCATTATAAATAATAAATAGATAAATTATGTCTTCTCATAATAAGTTACCTTCTCTCTAAATTAACACACAAAGCATTTCAGTAAAAAAATACTGGCATGTGACATTGTAACGTGTACCAAACACATAATAAATAAATAAATAAATAAATAAATAGATAGATGGAATATTATAACATACAGAATCCAACAAAATAATTGGTGGTGTTTCAATGTATCAAACCTATTAAAAATGTTAAGTAGACATAGTATATTCCAGCAGCACCACTCAAATATAGAATATGAGCAAACTGTCATAATCATTGTCATATTAATTAATTACAAAAATACGTATCAGGGCTTCTTAGGAATTTCTGAGGCAGGTTGTTTGCTCAGTTGCGTTTAAGCTGTTGTATTCTTTATTCTTTTCCTCCTCTTTTGTTTTTCTGCCACTTCTCTGAAATCTCTTATTGATAACTAGAAAATAAGACAAAGAAAACTGAAACAAATATTCTCTGCATTTCTCAGGCAGTCCTTAGCTTTCAGTCCACTTTGCCTTCAGTTAATGCCAATCTGGTTCAGGTGTGAATTACATACATCCCAACTGTCCAAGATAAGCATCTATTGATACAAATTCCTATAGGGTTTAGCTTATTTGATTGGGTGATAGGTGTCTGCTATGGCTCTTGAAAATTTAAAAAGGGGCTATCTGCATCCATAGGTGCCCAAATATCTTGGAAATTTTAACCAACATAACCAGTAGAACTTTCTGTGTGTAATTACAATAGAGTTACTCATATGATCAGAACTGTAGAGGTACTTGCAAGCTTTACAAAAATAATTCTGTGTTCAAAGGGATTTGGGTCTTGTTCAGCTCAAGCAGGTTCAAACGTTTAAAAATTTATGCTCTTTTTAAAATTATTCAGCAGCCTTTATTCATGTCAGAACCACCACTACTATATCTTGATCCTGTTTTCAAAATACAGTAGTGTTGATTGGAAAAAGATTATTTCCATTTTTAATATAGTCTCCATTTTCTCATACTAATTTATTCTGCTAATATAATCTGATCCTGTTTAGACATCATCAGAGTTTGAACTCAGAACCCAAAGTGACTCATAAGCCTCTTATATAGACTACTCACTAGAAAAAGACAAAGATAAACACTGCTAATGTGGGTTATATTCGCAATAGCCAACTATTCAAGTACTTCAGTATAAGTAAGTAGCTAGGTAGAAAGCTGATTCATTAACTGCAGACAAGGTTCCTTGGGTGAATTTGATATCTTTTATTAGACCAACCCAAATGGTTGGAGAATAGTTATTAAGCAAGCTTTCGGGTTCAAAAACCCTTCATCAGGCTAAGAAAGCTTCAGTAGTTGGTGTGTGCTCATTAACTGTAAACTCAAGAATAGTATTTCCGGCCTATTCTAAATGGATCTTAATTATTTTTTCTATGAGAAGTCTAGATTATGCTAGAGAATATAATTGTATATAGCTGTCTCTTCCCACTTAATCAAACAGGCTGTGTCTACACATGCACTTTACTGTGAAGTAGATTAATTAACTGCAGAGTAAAGGGTCATCATCTACATGTATGACAGTATTAGGCTGCAGTAAACTAATTAACACTGTAATAAGATAGTACCATCGGGGACAGTAGGTGCTGACCATGGGCATAAATTGTGCCTGGTCAGCCCAGCCAGCAGGGGGGGCAGACTCCTGCCTGCTGCCTACCCACACAGCTCAGCATCCTTGTGCCCCAGCCATCCCCAATGCTGCCACCCAGAACCTGGGGCAGAGCAAGGCAGGAGCAGCCCTGGAGTCAACAGCTCCGCCCAGCTCAAATTGCTGCTGTCCCGGGTGCACTGCTCCAGAGTTTATTGCTTCAAATTAATTGCACATGTAGATGCACCCACAGTCTCCTATGCCAGTGTAATAAATGCTGCCTTAAGCTATACCTGCATGGTAAAGACCAATCACTCCAAGATGAGTTGTAATACCGATCCCTGGCCTGAACGAAGATCTTGTCCGGGGTGCTAGTCTCCGGGAGATTCATAAAATATTCATCAGTATCATAAAACTGTGAAAAAAACACATCCTATTAGACTGACAGGCAGAACATGTTCAAATATAACATTTTATGTAGTTCTAATGAGCACAAAGCGCATATAACCATGTCTGTTTTTACAATGACACTGAAGAGCTACCAGTTCAACAAACTCCTTGTAATTTAGGGGTGCTCAAAGCCTCTAGTAATCTTTTTTCCTGAAAAGATTAAAAGTGAAAATGTGCTTATATCAGTGTGATCAAAGCAAAAACTGCATCTTTCAGTGTGTGAAATATTAGAGGTAAAATTAAAAAATGGTCTTAAAAATGCTCTGCTTTATAATCTGAGTTTCCTGTGGTGGGTGTGGTGACTACAAGAGGCATTGCGAAGGGTGGCATGGACATGTGGATCTTCAGTAAGAACTTTACTCCTTTCAAAGAGCCAGCACTAATGAGATATCGCCATCTGCTGGTATGAACTTCCTTAGTTAATGCCCAGGATGGAGAGCAAGTCGATCCAAATATTATTTTTCTAGTTCTTCTACTGACTTCCTGCGTCACTGTGGGAACGTTGTTCTTAAACTCACACAGATGCAGAAACGGAAACAAATCTATTCTGTGATTTTAAATTAATGTTAATTAATAATGTGCTGCTGGATATTGGGAAGTAGCTGACAAAAGGTAAAGTAGCCTCCAGCCTCTATGGCTGGGGGACATGAATCATTGTTTTTGATTTGCCGAAGCACCTGTATAGAAAATTGAGCTATCCTTGTGCAACTAACTCAAGCAATTCAAAGAAAAGTTATTTAGGCTTCTTGTTCCCTTGCTGTTGAAATGTTGTGGATTTCCCCAGCCCCAGCCTATGCCTGATTGCCTTTTACACATCACTCATTACCAAGATCCGCTCTTCTCCTGTGATGGAGAGAAAATAAGATCAGCCTGGCACAACCTTAAAGTAGAGCACTCACAGTATAACTTCGTCTCTCAGAGATATCCCTAAAGTTTACCCTGAAGTTTGAAAAAATAAGAACAATATAACAAACATTTTATCTTTCATATGATCCATTGGGTGAGGTAATTTCTGTTCTCAGTGAAACTGGTCAAATGAAGATCAGAGTAACAACATCTAGAGGCCTCAACTAGGTTGGACACTACAAAGACATACAGTAAATGAGACACCATGCCTCAGAAAGAGTTTACAACCTCACAACTGAGTCAAACAATGGAAACTGAATGGGGTTGATAGGGTAAAATAGGAAGATATAGCAGAGATCATGTGATAGTATAGAATTTAACGTCTTCTAAGCTATAAAAACATACCTGAGATCTATAATTAATTCTTATGGTCTTCTTTTTTGGGGGGCGGGGGGTAGAAAGGGATTACATCACTAAATACTAATAGTATTCTTCATTAAATCACTGTCTTCATTAAAGTATTCTACATTAAATCACAGCAGCAGTTCTCAAGATGCCTTCTGAACTTCAAATTCTCCTATCCTATTCAGGCAAAACTCCTTAAATTATTAGGAAATTGACCTGAATAGGACAGTGGGTTTATATCAGAGATACCTCTAAGAATTACAGATCCCACCAATGAAATACTGAGGCTGATCTGTCTCCAGTACTTCATCCATTTTGCTTGGATGCCCCTGTCTAGATGAACTGGGAACTGAGTCAGTTCTGAAAAGGCAGCATCTGACAACATTTTGGTGCAGGGAGCAATTTTTTATTCTTTTCCTGTACAGAACCTAACACAATGTAGGGGCCTGGTCTGTGAGTGGGCTTATAGGTGCTACAGAAGTACAGATAATAAAAAATAGACTATAATTAAGAGAAACAAGAGCTCCTGGTCTCACCTCCACTTTATTTGTGTGTTTTTTTGCAGATTCAGTTTTGACTCTAAACGTCAAAGGGAAGTAAGACTCTGGTGTACTCCATGTTTTGGGGTATTTCCAAGTCACTTTGTTGTCTTTGGCTAGATACTGACACTGAGGAGGATCAGGTCTTACTGAAAGAGAAAATAAAGACACCATTAGCATTGTGTGAACGTACAGTTTTAGTATTGCTATTGCAGAAGATGCCATTAAACAGCTTTGGGAGCATATTAGATTAGGTTAAGCATATGCTTGAGGTTTAAGGTAATGAGGTATTTTACTCTCCCATGGAAGTGGGATCGCTCTCACTACATTACTTTGGTAAGAGTCCTTCAAGTGTTGAGGACTGTGAGGGCTGAGGCAGGAATATTACTGCCACGTAATATTACTTGGAGAGCTGAACTTTTCAGCCAATGTCTTTCTGTCTCTGCTGTATGCCTGCCCATTCATGTCCTTTTCAGTGGAGTCCCTCCCACAGTATGTAAAGGACGAGAGGGAATTCTGAGAAACCTGGGAGTGGGAAACTTGCTTCTCCACTTCCTCCCCTTCTTCCTGGTTTTACTTTCCTCTATTCCTGTAAATGGGGGACTGCAAAAAACCTAGAATACAGCTACAGTGTACTAGTAATGAATCCCTTTGAGCTTCACAGGAAGATTCCTCCAGGCATATGGCACACTCTGGCACTATGGGGATGATTTGGAGAACCTTCATGGCCTGCTGTTGATACCAAGACTGTACTGTGAATAAATTGAAAGCTTCAGGCTTCAGAGCCATTGATCCATCATCTGTAACAATTATTGAATTCAATAAGCATATATACAGTGAATTAAAAATTAAAAAACTGCCTTGCAATTCACTCACTGATATCTCTAATGAAGAAGCTGGTAGAACAGTTTTCATATTCTATATCATCAATAACCTCCAGGAACATTTCAATGGGCTGGTGTTCCTCAGCAAAGGGGCAGTGGTTTTCTTTCTGGCACTGGGATGAATATACTGTCACTAATCCATTCTGATGAATCTCAGGGTTGCCACAGGTTACATCTCCTTCAGATCTGAATTAGGAACAGAGGAAAATAATGGAAATGCAACTGAGTTATGGGTGTAGTTATGCAACTGAGTTACAGGTGTAGCGATGTATCAGAATGCTGCAATGACCCCCATCTCAGTGGATGAGATAATACTTAGTTGGCATATCTCTATGCCTCTACATCTGTGCGCCTCCACATCTATCTGAAATGAGACAATCGTGTCACTAGGGATTCTGGGCGTAGTTTGAGAATAGCATGTGACCTGGTCTTCCTTATTGACACTGCTTAGGGATACATTTGGCGGTCCTAATAGCTAATACCACTCTTCAGCCCCTTTCCCAAATCTAGCTGGAAGAAATGAGTGAAGTGTTAATTGTTTCTATAAAAAATAAGGTAATAAAAATACTTGTTTTAATTGATCTTTACATCCAGAAAAAATAGGGCCTATAGTTATTTTTTGTTTAAGAAACATATATAACTAGGGCCACAGTACTCCATGTCTTAGAGAAACCCACAAGGAAGTGGTGGGAGGTAGGAAATCCCCAGGAGGTTCCCCTCACAGTATTTCCCTCATCAGTCCCTACAGAGCATTCCCTCCACCGGGAGAAATATGCACATGTGGCATCTGGAGTGGGCACAGCCTTCCAGGGTCACAGAGCCAGAAGATCTGCAGAAAAGGGACCCAGTGAGATGGCCTCTTTTATGTCTGGCCTGACCTTCCTCTCCTTGTTGTGTGCAAGAACCATCCTGCTACTGCCAGAGTCACTCTCCAGCTGCATGGCAGCAGCTCTTGTTCTTATACTTCCAAGTCATATTAACTTCTAATAAGACTTTCATGAAGTAATCTAATAGGTCTACAAGAGACAGCATCTCACTGTCAGGGAGGTTACAGGTGAGACGATGGAAGTGGTATTTATTCCTACTGCCGCTCATGTGCTTTGTGGGCAGGTTATCTTTTCAGTATCTTCTCCACAAGCTGATACAGAGAGGTGTTTTGACCTTATTACCCAAATGAGGTGGTTAAGGAAAGTACAAGCTTGTACCCTTTTAGATTCTTGATTGTGAAGCTCACATCTGGACTCTCCTTTTCTGTCATCCACCAGCATATGAAAATCCCTGAGTAATTCTTTGCCTCACATTTTAGATAGGTCCTGTTTGGCTCTAGATTGAAAAAGAGAAGATGATATAGTTTTTTTCTTAAAAGAAGTCTGAATATTATGAAACAACAGTAATGCAAGTCTACTGAAAGATATTGCCTCCTTTCTTAGGAACAACAGTGTGTAGCATATAACTCTTCAGCTGATAGGAAAGTATTGAGTGTCTGGAAGTAAACCTTGAGGATACACTGTTGTCGGGTTTTTCCCAGAACTTGTTTGCTTGTTTATAGGGTCTTGCTTTCCATCATATTTCCCATTCAAAAAATTACCACTTTCCAAGAAGTGGGATTCTCTCATGTCTTTGATTATCTATCAAATGTTTTAAATTGGAGGCATAGCTACCAATGTCTGCAAGGCCAGGTGGAAGCAGCAGCAGGGGCTGGGCTAGCTGCAGCTTCCCTGGTGGTTCAGCCAGTGGCTGCCATTTGTGTGCCCCCTTTAAGTGGGTGCCCCAGGTTGGTGCCATGGTCGCCCACCCCTGTTCCACTACTAGTTTACATTGCTACTTGTGATGCATTTCAAAGATAGACTTGTCATTCTCAGGACAGAACTCTATCTGAGAACAAAGGGGTTCTATATTTCAGGCAATGTTTAGTCAAGAAAAAGAAATTATACTCTGCTCTGTGAAATATAGCATTGTCCAGTGAGTTAAGCATGAGCCTAAATGACCGTTTTAATCCTATCTCAATCACAGATTCAAGTCAAATCACAATAGCTCTGCTTCATGAAGAGGAATTAGAGGCAAATCTTCAGTGATATAGTTGAGCCTCAGTGACATAGCTGAGCACTGACAGAGCAGAATTACCCCCCTCAGTGGTATAACATGGTGTGAGTGCACAGGGCACTAACACTGGATGATAATTTAGAAGGGCTTCCCAGATGGTGGCACATGGGGAGCTTGCACTGTGGCAGCAAAAATGTGTGCTATGGCAGCAGCAACCCATGTACAAGGAGCCTGTGATGGCAGATGTGCAGTGATAAGGACTGTCATAATTAATCTTTTTGTGCAGATCATGCACAGCACTACCTTCCAGTGAGTTCTCTTACTTTGCAATGTAGGACTCTGCAACAGCACACAACGAACACAGAAATAACATCCCACTGCTATATCCCCTTACCTTTAAAACTTTTCAGAATTGACTTGATCATTTCACCATTTGAATCTTTTTTAGTAATTAGAAGAAAACTGTAGCTGAGGACCTCATGTGTATCAGTACTCTGACAGGTATAGTTGCCAGCATCTGGGAGCTCCTGGACTTCAGTGATCAATGTCTTGCCATGTCCTCTTATTTCCATGTCCTTCATCCAGTAGACAGAGGTGGCTTGGTTATCAGATACATTGCATGTAAGCTCCACATGTTTGGCTGGTGCCTCATCACTCCATTCGGACTCTATGACATAAACTGAACATTGCCAGGAAATACATGTTAGATCTTACTCAAGCTCAAAGAACTGGTGAAATTAAAGTACAGGCCCAGCCCTGCTTTCCTTGAAATGGATAATAAAATTCACGCTGGTTTCAATAACATGACAAATTCCCATTGTTACTGGGAAATCTTAAGTAAGGTTTAACCATAAGTATAAAATGCATCCAAATCACTGGGATCAAGGAGAATGATATTTTCACTTAAGAAACAATATTGATTCAGGGATCTAAGACAGTTTTGTAAAGAGGCATAGTTCTGTGAAGTGGGAAAGCATCAATGTTTTACACAGATGGACACCAAGGACCATAGGACCTATTCATCCCTGCCTGCGTGTGGATCTGTCTTTACTCATAAAACGGGGAGTGAAACATCTCTACAGCACTGTGCTCCATCCTGGACTTAATGGAGATCCCTGTGCTATGTCAAAATCTATGTTTGAGAAGGGTTAGGGGACAAAAAGAAAGAAAGTAATCAAGGAGCAAGGCTGCAGTGGTATGTATTGCCCTTTCCCATAACTCAAACATGACATTGCATTAATTTTCAGGAGAAGACTTCTGGAAGCCCTGGCAGCATGGTCCCAGTCAACAGGGTCTGGGAGGAAGAGAATCCCAGAGTCACAGCAACAGTACATGGCTTCCAAAAGATAGACATGCCTTGTGTAACACTCGGAGGCCCTCTGGCTGTTGCATATTGGGAGAAACTCCTTTTTATGAAATAATCTTGAAAGAGTCCACTAGTAGGAAGAGTCCTAATGTATTCCTAGTGTATTTTGTTCAGTTATTTGCCAAATAGTTTGGATGAATATGTTTCAAACTTTGATCTGCCTGTCTGTCTGTTTTTCTTTCTTTTAAAAATAAGTGTTCTTTTTGACTATTTGCTGTTCCTGGCTTACTTGTGGGTAGTTACCTAAGTCATAAGATATCATTTCTGCTTCCTGATTGCAAGACTGAAACTTTTCAAACAGGAGAAGAGTGAATAGGGAATAAGGCAGTTTCTAATGCAAATTATTAGATGAATAATCATGTTGCTAAAAGTCACAACATTTTTGATCTCCTAATTTTTTTCATGAATACTCAACTGTCATCCAATTTCTCACAAAAAAATAAGCACATGAGTCTACCAATTGTAGCTAGCCAAACTCTGAATTTTCCTTCATGAGCATGTTTGTTTTTAACTATTCAACCAGCTGCAGTGTTCAGTAAATGAAAATGCTTACCATTTTCCCTCAGTTTCCATTTTGCTTCCAGAGGGATTGTAAAGGCAAATAAGGAAAGCAAGGCAAATACTAGACGAGACATCTGTGGGAGAAACAAAAGGTTACACTAAGCCTGTTTTGGAAAAATTATATCCATTAATATTCTTGATTGAATGCTCTCAATATACACAGCATTGTGCAGTATACTAGGAAGATGCAATGCATGCTTGCAACCAATTGATCTATTCTAAGTCCTTAGTCATAAGAGATATTTGGCTAAGTTTAGTGGGCTTCTTCACATGTGAATGGTGAGCAAAGGCAACCAGTCATATTCTCAAAGCAAAGCTTGCCTAAGTACTTTGCTGCATCAGGATCTTATTCAGCGTTTCTTACTGTAGGTTTGCTTACACTTCAGTGGCAGTACGTCCCAGTGGGGATGCTAACTAACAACATCCTGCCCAGCTCATCTTGCTCATTCCAAGCACAGAAATAAGCCAGTGAGGGTGCTCTGGGAAAGCCCTCTATGGCTGCTTCTGAGATCTCAGTCTCCAATGTGCTTTAGAACAGTTATTTTTTGGTGGGTACTTTTCTGCGTGCCCATGTATCCATGAACAGATAAAATACAATCCGTATTATGTCTGTAAGTATATATTCTTAATATAACATAGCTATAAATATATCTATTTCTCTCCATGTCTAGGTCCTTATATCGTTGCTCATCACATTTAGGGATGGTCAATATTCTTTCATGAAAACTACTTTGCTATGCAAACCCAGAATTTTGACTCAGTAATGTTTATTTTCAAGAGTCTGCTTCACATGGAAAATATTGAGGTTTCATCAAAAATATGAAAAGCTTTAAAACTGAATAGCTTGTCCTAGTTTTCAGGGGAGACGTTTTCAGGTTTGAAGTGTTTATGGAAAACAACTTTCTGTTGAAAGCTATTATTTTTTCATTTTTGTCAGAATTCTCATCAGAAAGAAATTCTATTCTGATCTACCCCAAACACGCAGTATCTGAGCCTTCCCTGTGATTTGTGTAGGCCATGGACCAGCATGTGTATGCCATGGGCCATGAATGTGAGTGTGTATTCTGGACCATGGGCCATGGGCCAGAATATTATCTGAAGTAAATCAGCATGGCTGTATTGCCATCAATAGAGCTACACTAATTTATATCAGTTACGAATCTGACCATATACATTTAATTCATCTCTGTGAACAGTATAAATATGAACATGTAATATATAATGTATCTTTCAATTCAGTTCAAACTATATTTTTAAAGATATACTATATGTACATACCCCATTTTACATAAGTATATAAACTACCCTTTTTAAGAAGAATCTGATAATAACTATCTTTATTTGAATAGACTTAAATAGACTTTCTTAGATATTTTACTTTAACTGGAGAGTAAGTAGAGAGATCTTTGGATTTTTTGGGGCATGACTAGTACCCTTTGAAGTAATCTATTAACATTTTTTGATGATCCAACACAGAAGCATTCAAATACAGAGAAATAAGAAGGATTTCTTACCATTTCAAACAGAGCTTCAGAGCTGAAGTGGCTAGGAGTGTAGTCCTGTGGATCTGAAGAGAGCTAGGTATTGGTCGCCTTTATACTTGTTAACTCTGAAAGTAAAGAGATACTTTTCTTTCACCGCAAACCACAGAATTGCATCACGTGGCTGAAGTTCCTTTTCCACATAGTGATAGAGTTAAAGTAAGAAAATAAGAAAACATTTGGGAGTCCCAGGTAAATTTGATGAGGAAATGAGAGAATGTTAATGACCTTTATGCCATGTCAGAGGTATTTCTTTTCCTGTTCTCATTCTCTGTCTCTCCTTATTACACTGTCTGTTTATTCCAGTGAGGAAAACGCACAGTTAAATAAACTTCCACCTGTTTGATAATCTTTCATAGTCTGAAAAAAGAAAGAGAAAAGTATTAAAGACACGACGAAAATATTAAATAAATCCTAACTACCAAAGTTTATTAAACTCTACAGCTCAGTAATGGCAAGGGATTGTGATTTGGGATATTTGGTTTTTTGAGTATACAATCCAGCAAAATTTTGTGTGAATCCCTGCCAAACTCAGCAAACACTTTAGGTGGAAAAAAAATTGGGAACAAAATTTGAAACAGTGAAACCTATTCATTTTGAAATTTTAAAATGAAACATTTCATTTTTTTCCCTTTAAAATGAGGTTTCATTAAAAAATGTATATAAGTTTGATACAAGTGTACAAGGTTAAAAAAAAGAGCTAAACCAATTTACATGGGGCTGAATGAAATGTTTTGCTCATTCCAAGTCAAAATATTTGAGCAAAGTGGATTCTTTTGAGAAGAGAACCAAAATATCTTCAGGTATCTATCAGGTATCTAGAAACAGCCACTGCTACTATTACTATTCCTAGTACTGCTGCTCCTAGACCTAGTGTTGGTCTGTATATTAGGAGGCAATGCCATGCTGTGTATGTTGACTTTACAGACTTTACCAGCTTTGCATGTGCAAGCTCTTAAGCTGGAAGAAGAATATGCTTATTAGTATTACTGTCATTCTTATTATTGACATTAAAAAACAGCAGGCAGTCCATTGTTATATGTACAGTTTACTTGTCATATATTTTGTGGGAATCATGGTAGAGGTAATTTATGGGTGGATAATTCAGTGGCTTTCACATGGCTGACACTTTATGCACACCCATCGGATCTATGTTACCACATTATTGATTCCAGACTTTACTCTGCTGGTGTTGACAGCCTTCATCATCTGATTCTTCACTTCTCCAATGAGCGCCAGAGCTGGTCCTCTCCTTACCACTCACCATTGTCCTAATAAGTACAACTGATATGATATATGCAACATGCTAAGAACTGAACAAATAGAGAGCTGTGATCAGTTTAAGATATCCACACTCTATTATATATAACTTTTTCTACCCCACCATGTCTCAGCCTTCTTTCTTGCACTAGCCATTATACTTTGTCATTTAGATTGTAAATTCTTTGGAGCCCTGATATATATGTAAAGCTCTTAGCATAATCAAATCTAGTCTGACTGTAATTTTGAATGGCAGTTCAAAAATTAAATTTGGAATGATAATTGTTAATAGTAATGAAAGCCTATGTACAGAATGTATATTCTGTACATACATAAGTACATCGGGCACATGCATGCCCTACATACATACACATTACAGAACAAACTGTGTCATATGGCAATTGAGTTTTACATCAAGAATCCTGGATACAATTGTGAAGTACAGATAGATCTGCATGGAACTTCCATGCTGGATAGTTTGCTATGATCCATCAGAGTGGAATTTTCAAATATGAAAACACAGCTATTGTGAAAATGGCTCTTGATGACAATCTGGTTTTCCATTATGATCTCATATATTCTTAAGGGGAAATTTAGAAGACAGACGACTCTCCAATTATTTTATCCCACTTCCCTATGACAGTGAAAGAGAGAATGGTAGAAGCTCTAAGTGAGTCTGTTTTGCTTTCCAGTAAAACATTCAATTTGGCACAAAAGCCCTACAAAAATATAGTAATTCCAATATTTCTATTGAAAATAATGGGTGGTGGGCTGAAAAACAGTTTCTTTTACTTTGGAGGTTTGAAGAATTTTGATTTCACTCTAATGTTTAGGGTGAAACAAATATTTTACTATATTCCAAAAAGAAAAAAAAAAGATTTGTATAATACTAATAAGTTGATTAAATATAACAGAGACCACAGCACCACAAAATGGGAATGGAGAAATGTAGGTTCTCGTTAGAAATGTGCTCTCTTTAAGAACGTTTCCCTCATTTCCATAAGTGGACTGCTTTAAAGGCTTTCTTTTACACATACGATTTCCCTGTCTGTGAAGTTTGACTGCTCAGCAGACAACTTTAACCAGTTCTTCAAAGAGATCATAATTGTTAAAAGCATTCTTGTCATTCAATCTAGCAGTCATTGCTTGACAGTAACTAAAAAAAGTGGTCATTGGTAACAAAGCATTTCACATTTGTACTGTATAAAACAGCCTAGGTATCATTATTCCATAATAGGAAAACCAGACACACATGGTATGTTTGACATTCTATTCTTTCCTGGTTGTCTCAGTATCTAGTTTTGGTCATCTCTATGGTTGTCTCAGTCCCAAAAATGCCAGTCGCGTAGGTTGGAATTCTGTTCCTGGCCATGTAGTCCTGCCCACATGAACAACTATGTGCATATATACCCAAACTGAGTCTATGCCCTGACAGCAAAGTGAGGGAGACCAACTTCAAAAGGAGCGCTAGAGAAAAGGATAGACAATGGCTGACTTGTATGGTGATTAAAGTCTTGTGCTGAGAAGTTGGAGACACCCAGGTTCAAAGCATCTGTGGGCAAGAGGGCCTAAAACCCAGACCTTTCAGCTTCCCATGTGACCTCCCCAGACACAGAGCTATGGGGAAGGGGAGACGCACAAACAATGCATTCTCTGCTCCTGAGTCTAAGTCTGGTAGTCATGAGTTTTGGCTATTCACATGGGGCATACATATGTTTCCCAGCCAGTACTACATGTGTCCAGTCCGGATGATTACACCTCCAGAAACATAGCCATCTACACCCCAAAAAACAATCTATGCATACATAAGTAGCATTTTTGGCACTTAGATAACAAAAATGTTATGCAGACAACCAAAATGGATGCTTAGATGACTAGCAAGGGACTATATATTGTCACCATACTTATCTCAAACACATACAGAGAGTGATTTGAAATTTCACTCCTCCCCACACTCCTCCCCATGGCACAGCAGCTGCAAGCGATTCGCTGGTGCCTGGCTCTGGCCAGCACTGCACATCACAGCAAGGGACGCAGCCCCCACCAGGCAGTCTATTGCTGGCGCTCCCTGCGCTGGCAAGGCATGGGAGGGAAGCCCCAGGTGCTGGAGCTGGCTGGGGCAGGGAAGGCAGCTGGTTTCAGTGCATGGGGCTTCCCTCCCATGCTGTGTGAGTGTGGGGAGTGCCAGCAATACAGACGGCTTGGTGGAGGCTGCATCCCTTGCTGCGACATGCAGCGCTGGCCCGAGGCAGGCACCAGCGCCCCAAGCACTA